AAGGGTTGGTCATTCCTCTGAATGCCAATCTCAGATGCCCGCTCCTCTGAGCGACTCTTTTTCCTACATCTCCATGCCCGTTTTCCCTCAAACGGTCGCGCGTGTGCTGACTGCCCTCAACGCAGCCCTGCTAGGTCCCCCACGTTTGCATGTCAAGTGTTTCTATGGGTGCTTGTCCCGCTCTGATACCATATGACACGGACTTAGCTGGTTTTGCCTAAGTCGTGCGGCACCCTTGCGTGTCCGTCCGCAAAGGTCAGCCTCCCCGAAGACTCCCATTGTCCCTTAGGACCAACAAAAGAGAGAACGGGCAAGAGAGAACGCCTGAATCGGGATCCACAAGCAAATATCTCCGAAAAACACTTCATAGACAATGCAAATTACAAACAGACCTTACAAGCTCTGAACAGTGGCACAACAAAGGGTAAAATGGTCCATTACAGACCGAAAAGCTCTCGCACGTGTCCACATGACACAACCTTTATTTACAAGCCTAAAGAGGCCACCACCCAACTAAAATGGGATTTATAAGCCTTCGGCCGCCCCTCTACACGCTGTACAAGGCATGAACATGCCAACAGACACGGACAGATATAAGCATTACATCAAACATCCTGTTTCAAAGTTTGTCCGTGACAGGTTGGTGGCCCAGATTGAATTGGTTCCAACATTTAGTTGGACCCATTTGAATGCCTATTTAACCCCATTTCTCCTCCCTCTTTGATCCTATTTCAATCTCACATCTTCTAACACTCTTTCTTACTCAATCACTCCCTCTTTCTCATAAATTCTTACTCTTGTTCAATATCAATGGAAGAACCATTAGAACATGCCGCAGAGATGCTCATCAACATCCAAAAAATATAAATCCACTGTCCCCTCCATATTTGAATATGTTTTATTAAAATAGAACTAAATTTGCATTAAGTTCTAATTAAAAAACCCCTAAACTAAACTTTTTCCTAATTTTCATGTATTTTTGGATATTTTCTGGGTTTTTTTGGAAACTATCAACACATTCTGACATATCATGTGTTGGTACGCTAGTACAAACTGGCACATGCCGAATCAGCCAAAGACTGGCTGTGCCGATCGGCATGAAATTGCAGTCCTTGGTATGGACTGGGTAACAAATTAGCATGATGATATGAAATGGAATATTTAAGTGTGTAATATCAGTTTTTACCCACAGAAAAGAAAGAAAAACATCTGAAATTCATGAATCAATATCTTGTAGATTATTAAGCATCAAATTAATGCAATACCTAGTCAAAGACAAGGTGGTATTCCTCAGAAGAGGAATCACATGTTCTGAGAACGGTATAGTAGAAGACTGACACTTGAAAACATTGTATCTGTGTGGAATGCAGAACATTGGCTTGTGTACCCTGTCTGAAATATGGGAACTCCAAGCACCTTGTCGCTGCATGCAAAGTTGGATATGCATGAGAAAATATTATAAGCAAATTAAATCGCATAAATTTTCCCTTTAAGAAAAAATATACTACAAGTTTGTGTTTCTTAAAAAATGATGCATCATTTTTTATCTAGGAAAAAAAATCCTAAATTCACAAATTAAAAGGCAGTAGAAGAAAAGAAGTCCAATTTCCATATATCATCGTTTGAAGCGCACATTGATGAGGTAACAGTGACTTTTTTTTTTTTGCAAAGTTGTAAGACAGGATTTGATTTCAAGACCTTGCCATCAATATTCAAAATCCTCGCCAGCTAGACAAGCTGACATCTTAAAAAAATTATCAGATAATGTTTCAAGGGTGACAAATTGTATTTGTCTAAGAAATAGTAACAAGACAAGAAAGATACATATATATGTTTTTGAAACTAAAACAATTAAAACACAAAGATTGATATGTGGCGAAGAGAAAAATGAAATGAATCAGAGATCATCTACATATTGAAAAAATTGGAATCTTCTCCCACCAGCAAAAGTCAGATGTTTTAACTTTATATCAGGATGGCTCATGCATATCAATGACCTAAACTAGGTATATAATCCATCAACGTAAGCTATTTATCCATTCCCTGCATCTCCTATAATTTTTTTTATTTCACTTTTCTAATCCTACCTTTCTGAAAGGTCCTTTCATTTCTTGCTGCATGCTATATAACATAAGAAGCAAGCAAAGAAAGGATATATTGGACAGAACTTAGAAATAACATTGAAGAAGATGAAATGATGAGGACAAAAACAAAATAAAGTTCATGTTATCCTCAACAATAACTAAAAAGTTTGTAACAATAGTGTAAATTAATGACCTAGAACTATTATCTTACCAGTTTAAGCTAAAGTAAAAGTAACAAGAATATTAACCATTACTGACTCTGTAGTTAACAAGAATATTAACTATTATCTTACCAGTTTACGCTGAAAAAGGCGCCAAGGTCCAAAAACGCCCGAGGCGCTAGGCGCTCGCCCGAGCAAAGTGATGCGCTAAAATATAAAAATATATAATATAATTAATAAATATAATTATTTAAATAAAAATATGCTATTAAATTAAAAAAATAGGTACAAAATCATAATAAATAAATAAATAATAATAGTATATTTTTTTATTTTTAAATAAAAAATACTATTAAATAAATAAAAATTAATAGTATTAAAATCAAAATAATATATTATTAATCTAATAAATAAAAATATTATTATTAGGATACAATTAGCAGTATATTGTTATTATACTGTTAACAGTATAGTGAGAAGTGTGTGAGAAGACCGAGACTGTTGAGGCAACGGTAGCAGGCGATAGCCGTAGCTGGAGTGGGAGCAGGAGCAGTGAGCGGTAGCAGCAGCGGGAGCGGCAAGCGACAGCGGGAGTGGCGACAGCAGCGATTGTGGCAGCGACGAGTAGCGATAATAGCGACGAGCAACGATAGTGACAGTGGCAGCAGAGAGCAACGACAGCGGAGAAGAAATCTCGGCGGCAAAATCGCGAGTGTTAGGGTTAGGAAAGTCGGGGAAATCACGAGAGGGAGCCTAATATCAGTGATTTAGTTGGTTCAATTGAACCAACTAAAGCACCGAAGACCAATCAGACCTAAAAATATGGTTCGGTCGCTTGGTTTAACCCAGGCGCTCGCCTAAAGCGCCCAGCGCCTAGGCTCGGGTGAGCGCCCAGGCGGAGCCTCTTTGAAGTGCGCCGCCTGGAAATGAAGCTAGGCGCTTGGGCCTCGCCTCGCCTAGGCGAGCGCCTATTATAATCACTGATCTAGACCATCCATATAAAAAGTAGCATACATCTACAAAGAACACGAGTGCTTGAATTAAATTTGTTATTATAACTATAGCAGCCTGGGATCTATTTCTAAACCCTACATGTCATGGTATGTCCTTCAAAAAATGTGGCATCGCCTGCTTAAATCTAAAGGAGACTATTCAATACTAGATAACTGAAATTTAATATTTTCATAAAATAAAAAAGGCATCCAAAAAGATATAGTTCTTTATGGATTATGCCAGGTTTGACTATTCAATATACTAAATAACACCTTATTCAGCACTTCATTTCAATTGTTTTCATTGCCTGACTTCTCAAGAAGTAGAATTTACTTCTAACTTCAACACCTAAGCACTAATGGCATCAAGTACACCATGGTTTGCCTTTATGCAAGTACATTGATTCAGATAACTTACCATCATAATGGAGAGAAAACAAAGACAAAGATGATAAAATTTTAACCAATGTGAAAGCAGTTGCAATTTGGTGTCATAAGTAAAAAAAGACAGTGAATCCTTTGACGCATAAGTTTAACATCAATGTGACACTGAAGTTTCCTCAAACAAATTGTTAGCTAATCAAAAATCACAGCTTACCTTAAAATCAACCTAAATGACTAGCATAGAATTTTTTTTGCTATGACTAACAGATAACAAATCATGTTAACAAGAATACTCTGACGAGAATATTCTTGAAAAAAGAAATCAACTTAGAAAATAGGAGCACAACACTGTATCTTAAAACACAAGTTCTGCTTTAAAGCACTATTTTACAGGATAGACATAATATTAAATCTGAAATACCACTTTTCCATTCACAATCACCTTCAGCCTATTATTGTTTTCTTTCATGACTTGCTATGATTGAATTACAAAAAGAATAAGCAAGCATCAAAGAGTCTGTGTCGCAACTGAAAGCACTGAACACTAAATATGTGACTATTATTGGCACAAATTAAGCACAACTACAACAAAATAATATGGTAAAAATTCCTTTGAGAATGATTAACATACCGAAGCACAAGAAGAAAGGGGAAAGGTCTTCAAGCAGTACAATTTGTTTATTTTGTAGCACTGCAAAGTCATGGTTGATCTTCAGATACTCATACTAAAGAAGCATAATGTGCCAAAATGAAACAAATATGTAAACAAACTCTGTCTTACCTTAAGTCGGTTGGCGTGGCCGATTCCTCTTACCTTAAGCTGGTTAGTCTGGCCAGTGCTTTGGACAACACCTAGCTCATGGGACAAATGCAAGGAAGATCCAACAGTCATCCTCAAAATGGCATAAAACTTCAATAAATGGGGTTAGGAGCCACAAGTCTTCCCCTTGCTGAACCTTTCCACAGATGAGATCCACAATAACCTATGTATAGTAGGCCCCTGAACCTTCAGAATCCCCACCACAGGATAAGAAAACAAAAGACGAGTAAGAAGGCAGTTATCGGTCATCAACCTGACAAGCACTTGCACTGATCACCTCATAAGACGTTTACAAAAGCTAAAACATTACAAAACAAAGTGTTTCCTGCAAATCGCAAGAGCAAATTAAAAAAAAAAAAAAGTGCCTCATCGCCCCAAAACACTGCTTCTCAAATCACATTTCTCGTAATGTTTTAAGTCGGATTACGAATAGGGTCATTTGCTTTAATCCTAATCGACAAAGAAACATGAGGCGTCAAGCAGATAAATAGCCCTAACATGATTATGAGGGGAAAACCCCAAGAAACTCATTTTGATGGTGGAAACCCATCATTTCGTTTAACCCATAATCCAAGAGAAGAACATCACGCGCTACGTAACCTAAGCCTTCACATGAAATCACAATTATAAAGTATCTACATCACCTGGATACAAAGAATAAAACTTGAAGAGGAACAGAGAAGAGCACCTCTCCGAAAATCAAAGAAAAATCAACCAGCTCGGTACGCTCAGATCAGACACTCGATTTGTCTCCAAGAAAGTCCCGGAGAGCGGAGAGCGGAGGACGGAGGGCCGGGGAAGGGGAAGGGTATGGGGGGATCGGAGACGACGGACGAGAGTTAGCGTGGCACGAAACGTCCTCGAGGAGGGTTAAAAACATAAGCATTATACACGTGGCGTCGTTTAGTTGGATGTCCGGTGGTGTTTCGAGGTCTTGGGTCGATAGCCGGCCTCGTGGGTGTTTGAGTATGAGTACGTGGCTGGAGAGCAACACAAAATGCACGAGTAAATTATACGCCCGTAAAGCTTGCGCGAATTTCTGTGCCTTTCTTGAACCACCACCTCAGCATTCAAGGCATTCGCGTAGAAACTACAGGTGTGGTAGAATATTTCGACGGTCACATCTTCGTACCGAGGAAGGAAGCAAACAAACGAAAAGAGATCATGTAATTTGTCGGAGACGAGAAATCATGTAATCAGAAACACACACCAAAAGATCGAGAAATATTAGGCCAACTCGATGAAAATTACTGTAAGTCTATATTAAAAAACATTTGAATTGTATTGATTCATTTTATGAATTAATTTAATGTAATACAAAAAGGATAGGAGATTATTTTCGGATAATGATAGAGAGATCACGAGAACCCTCAAGAAAAAGCTCAATAAGATATCTTTTTTTATCGAAAATTCACCCAAAGAGATTAACAAAATTTAAAGAACATATATGGGGCATAATTTGTTAGAACATGAACCGATAATATTTTTAATAAATAAGAGAAAATTAAAGGAAAAAAGGAACCTGTAATCATTTTTTACGTGGTCCTAAGGTAAATTTCATTCCGATGGCAGAAGAGAAAGAAAGAACTCTTAAGGAGAAGAAAATATCTCTATGAGAAAAATAAATAAAAAAAATGATTTCACTGCTTTATAGGGAAGACTAAGGTAAGTGAATATTTTAGGTTTAAACAATACGAATCTTATGAAAAGAAAAAAAATAAGAAGAGAGTATATATATATAATTTTGATATTTTCCATTACTCGATCCTAACTATAAAAATTTAAAATTTTTTAATATTATTAAAAATATTAAGAATAAATAAGAAGTACCGAATATATATTATATAATTATTGAGGTACTTTTATAAGACTTATACCTTAGTATAAGTAGTTTCTATACGAAGGAGACGAAGTGAGGTATTTTTATAATTTATGAAGGAGACGAAGTGAGGTATAAGACTTAATATCGAATATATACTATATAATTATTGAGGTATTTTTATAATTATTGAGGTACTTTTATAAGACTTAATACCTTAGTATAACTCAAATTATAATATATTCTATCAAATTATAGAATATTCTATCATAGAATTGCATGCTTATGACGATGCACATGTGTCTTGATTTATTCTTAAAGCTTTTAAAAATTACCCAAAAGGATATATGCGTAAAGTGATATCTCGTGGATGCCTTACGTCATTAAAATTATTCTTTTATCGCTAAGTAGAAATAATAAACATTCATCGTAGGGGTAAGTAAGGTTGGAGTTAAATTTTATTATTATAATAATATGTTACTCTCTTTAGTTAATCAATCGATTTATTATTATCATATTGAATCTTATTGCATATTATAGAAATTAGATTTTTACCATTGAAGATCTGCAAACTTATCCCCTAAATGATATCAAGTAATAGTCTTTTTTGTTTTATTATTTTTATACCTTTATAAAGGCTATCCAACATGTTATATAGTCATATTAATTTTTTTAGTATTATTAAGCATATAATTTATTTTATGTTTGATATATATCATGCGTATAAATAATTTAATACATAATCAAATTATAATTATTAAACATGCTAAAATAAATATAAATATTTATAATTTATTACAATGAATAAATTCATAAATATAAACATGATAACGATACCATTACAATTCGAAGGAAATTTAACATATCAAGAAATTAATATTTCAAAGGAAATTCATAAATATATGCATCACATGATATTCTTATATCTTTTAATAGGATTTTGATCAACAGAAACATATTTTAAAGCCCCCACGTTTTTCAAAAGAATTAACATAAAACTCATCATTTTGCATATGGTAGTTTTCTTACCCATTTCATATGTCATAATATTTTTCATAATTTTATATATGCATCATGTTTATCATAATTTCACATATGCATAATACTTTTATCATAAAAACATTATATCTTAATTTTCATAGCCCTAAGGAAGTTTTCGCATCGAGAGCAAGAGAAGAAAATATTATTAGTCTGTCTTCCTAAACATTATTTCTTAATTTATATATTCTCTCTTTGACTTATAAGTTTTGAGTGGTCAAGGACTCTTTCTAACTTAAGAGCTACAAGTCCAACAAGCAAGAAGTTCTTTTCTTTCAACTTATTATAAGATTTTATAGTTTCATCTTCATCCTCGACATCGTAACAACAAATATAATAGAATCATCAACATCTTTAGTAGTATCAATGAAGGTATTGTTAGTTGAAAGATCAAAGATGAAAAAAGGAAGAATAGATGACAATTGTTTTGTTGTGATTTATCCTTGTCACTTGAGAACTTTTGAGCAATTATCGTTTGAGAACTCTTTGCAAGTTATTTGTTTAAATAGTTGAAAATTCACAACAAGAGTATATTGATTTCCTTATACATTTATTGCAGAAAAGAAAAGATGCAACTCCTATACATACTCCTTATACATTAGAGCGATCAATGAAGGTTTGCCATTTTATTGAGTTCCAACCCCGCAAGGATCACAAGGATGATAAATAAAGCTGAGATTTGTGGACAATTGGTTCCATCAATTTTCATCTCACATCGAAGATTAGCGTTTTGTTATCCGAAGCTATCCTTTTTGCAAAGACGATGACATAATAGTTTAAGAAAAGTAATATTAAGAAAGTCAACGATCAAGATTTTGTGAGAACGATTTTTTTATGTAACTGAAGAGAACGATTTTGTGATAACTCAAGAGACCAAAAACTCACCCAAAAAACCAAAAATGGGAACTAACGATTTTTTCATGTAAAAAAATAAAAACTACAACAAAAAGTATCCTCTATTATAGAAATGGAATTACAATTTAAATAAAACATTAGGTGTATGTATGTATGTATACATACAAAATATAAATAAGTAAATTTCATAGTCTGTTATGTAAAGTGGATGCAATGATGTACGACTGAAGACGCCTTACAATTTTTTTTACTAATTAACTAATAATTTCATTGATTCCTTAATCAAAATATGTTAAGATTTCATCTTAAATTATTTCATTTATGGAGTCCACTTAAAACAAATAATTATCACAACTAATTATAAGAGAAGTTTTCCTCTTTAACTTAACTAGAAGAAAAATGGTTGTTGGCTTAATTATCACAACTTTTTAGGACAAACACAAACTCCAAAATGGTCGTTGGCTTCTCTGCTCAGAGGGGCTTCGATGGAAGAGAAGCTCCAGCTATTTTCGAAGGCCTTCAGCATGCTTCTTCTGCGCACCGCTAGACTAGTCTGCTCGTTCAATCTGATGCCAAGCTCATTGTTGACGACCTCAACAACAACTCATCGCCGACTCCATGGTTTTTGAGAGCCATCCTAAACAATATTAGGATGCTTGATGCTTCTTTTTTTTCTTTTCTTGTCATCAAATCTATAAAATGATGCACAACTGATCAATCAAATACAATGTGAAATTAAATTTGAATGGAGGGTTAGTTAGTTCCTTGTTAGATTCTTAATTAAAATGTGACAGAGATTCATCTTAGATTGTTAGAACATAAATAAATAAGAAAAGTAAATAAAATTTTTATTGATACTCTCTGTTACTCGATCCTAACATAATTTGTTAAAAGAGTTTTATCAATGTAATCATTTGATGGAGGTTAAAAATTTGAATCCTCATCCGATAAATTTTAAAAAAAGAGATTATTAGTTGGTCGACTTTCTTGAGATCAATTAAACTCGGCTAGTCAAGATTACTTTCATTTTGAGAGCAATCAATCAATGTAATTCTTTAACATGTTCTCAGGTTTAAAACCCTCACCAATCTCATTCAATCATGAGACACCAAATCCCTGAAAATTAGTACGACGTGTGGTTGATTTCATTAGACTTTGTCTGCAAACCACGAATCCTTTTCCTCAGCACCTTTCAAAGTTGCACAAAGTCCATTATGAAACGATTTTGTCGAAAATGACGAGCATATCAAAGCAACAAAAGTTTGTGAGAACTTCCGATGATAATTCTGCAAACTAAGATGCAACACTTTCTGAGGGTGGCACCCAAAAAACAAGCAGCATTACAAGTTGGCACTAGTGAGAACGCCTCCAATAATAAGAGTGTGAATCTAAATCCCAACAAAACAATTGGTTCCCACAGCATCCAAAACTTCAAAAATATGTCTGTGGATTGTGTTTATTGTACAAAATCCTCCACCATCCAACCACTAAATGCACAATTCATTCCGACATTTAATGGTCAAGGCTTGAGAGCAAGAGCCAAACCAAACTTGGGAGTCCTTTCCAAGGCCTTGGTGTCGAACTCACCGGATATCGTTAGAATGGATTTCGGCTTCAGCTCATGCTGGAGAAGAGCCCCGAGCTTGCCAGAGTTGTTGAGCCTTGCCTTCACTGTTGTCTGGGGATCCAGTGCATGTTGTCCTCCAACAGTCATTGTGTTCTCGTTGGTAGAGAACCTTCTAACGATCTCTGCGACCACAGAGCTCTTCTGCATCTCATCCAAATGGTACACGTATGAAGCTCTAAGAGTGTCTCCCTTATCCGCCCTGATGACAAGAGTGTTACTGGTAAAGATGCCATGGAACTCAGAAGAAGAGGTTTGTGATAAACAACAAAGATGCTTACAGAATGATGGAAGCATTATATTCTGGTTTCTTCAGGGCAATCCCAGCAGTATATTTGATGAAAGTTCCAGAGGCAGTATCAAAGCCAGCCTCTGCACCAAATGCAATGCCTTGGGCACCAACTGTCCCAGAAAGTTCAACTAAAGGGTTCTGCTTCAGAGCCACCACGGAGGCAACACTTGCATGATGATGGAGATATTGCACCTCCAGCTGAATGGAGTAAAAATTCG